CCTGCAGATGCCGGTCAAGCTCACTATCTTCTGCCCCACACCTACCGCTCTGCCTGGTTTTATCTTGTGATTAGCAGGCTCCCTGGAGGAGGCTGCAAGCCTCACTGTGGCCGTGCCTCCTCCCTCAGCCTCCACCCCTTCCTGCCAGCCAGCACAGCTGCTGATTCCTTCGCAGGTCCCACTGGCACAGGCCATTCCCACCTGAGAAGACAGACTCACTCCTCTTCTCGGCGGAGGAGGGGCCCTGCCAGGACCTTCTCACTAGGAGACAGGCTGGCAAACTGGGAAGTGCGGCAGGAGGCCCTGTGAGTGGTCACTGCCTGTGACACGTTTCAGAAGAGGCGCGGTGCTTTGATGTTCCCCCACCGAGGGGCAGAGCCTATGGCTTCTTCCCTAAATCCGGGTGGGCTGCCTCGACCCACAGTCAAGCAGAGTGACACTGGAGAATGGCTTGCACTGCACAGGAAGAGGCCACAGAGTGCCACCCGCGTCTCTTAGGCCACTCGGGGCACTGGCCACCCCTGAGGAAGTGCTGGCGACGCACGAGGCCAGGGGAGGTGCTCCGGCCCACAGTCCCTGCATTGGAGTCAGATACTCTCGAGCAGCCGTGGACGGGGAGCTGCCGGCGAGGGCGGCTGGCGTCTGGCGTCTGGGCAGCTGTTGGTGCTCAGGCGCTCGCACCTGTGGAGCACTGCACAGCTGCAGGAGGAAGCGCAGGCCCTGGGGCGGGGGGGTGGAGATGGGCACACAGGACCCAGCGCCAGGTGATGGGCCTAGCTGTGGGCGGTGTGCTAAATTTTGGGTTAAAATGTGGGAAAGAATATCCACTTGCGTGTACTCGTATTTCTGTGTGGAAAACCCTGGGAGAATCCATTCAAAACAGGTGAACATGTTTCCCTGATGTAGCTGGGAAGATCTGAGCAGATGACACATGGGGACAGGAGTTAGGTCAAACCCTAGACCACAGTCCACGCTGCCCTTGCAAAGCAGTGGGGGAAGAGTACAGGTGTGGAGCATTGGCTCTGCCGTCTGCCCTCACCCGCTACGCACGCCTAGCCCTGGCACCATCTGAGCCGGGGGCATGGGTGACTCAATGGTGTTAAGTCTCTTTGGGTCTGATGTCCCTGTGAGGATCTTAGTTTGTGGAATCCTGAAATCCTGCATGTAAACAGCAGGACAAAGAGAATTGAAATGCTCAACTTTATCTGTTTATGTTTAAATATGATATTAACATCAGTAATATTACTCTGTTGTATTAACATATTAGAATCTTATATGTTTAATTTTTTTTCTTTTCCTGAGACAGGGTCTCACTATGTAGTTCAGGCTGGCCTCAGACTTGCAGTGATCTACCTGCCTCAGCCTCCCAAATGCTGGGATTACAGGTATGCACCGCCACACCGGGCTCGTATCCCTGGAAACAGCATACACTGCAGGCTGAAATGCTGACAAAAAAGCATAATGGAGAGGTATATCTTCCTTGCCCTTCCAGTGACCAGAAATCATCATGGCTGACCTGTTGGAGCGTTCCCTGTATTTCCACCGTGCCAGCGGGGCCAGCTGCAGCCTTCACCAGCCTTCCCTCAAACAGAAACGAGACGAGCTGGCAAAAGGGAGCGGTCTTGCCACATCTGAAGAGCACTGTTTGGGATATGGGGCACGTGCCAGCTTGGGGCTCCCCGTGCCCCAAGGGTGCTGCTTCCCTGCCTCTGTGCGCCACCCCCAGCATCCCAGGGCCTTCCCCAGCGCTTAGCCCCCCGGTCCAGAGCATGGCTCTGCCTGTTGGGTAGGGATGGCCTCGGAGATTGTGTCTCCTCCAGGCCACAGACCGTTCTTGGCTCTCTGATCCCCAAGTACAAAATGTAACCTGCAGACTCCGGACAGTGTGAACTTGCCCTGAGGAGGGCAAAGAGGCCACTGCCCTAACCAGGAGGCCACTGCCCTAACTAGGCCCGGGACATGCTGGCGGCACGCCCAACAGATGTCCGGTCCATCTGAGTGCTGGGCGCCAGGGCGAGGAAATGAGTTCCCCTCCTCAGCAGCTCCGGAGCTCCCAGCAGCCCTCTTCCACCGGGGAAAGATTCTTCACTCCACCCAAGAGTGTTCCCAGCACTCCCAAGGTCAGCTACTTGAATGCCCAGCCCGGTTCTGTGCTGGGAAGATGGAGTAGGGGGAGCCTGCACCCGCTGAGCAGTGCAGAGGGCACAGGCAAGGGCTGGGCCTGGAGCTGGTGCGCCCCGGGACACAGTGGGGGATCAGAGGTTTCACAGTTCCTGAGGATACAAGGTCTCTTCTCTGAGTGGGCAAGGAGGAAGATGCTCAGAAGGAAAACTCAGCATCTGATAGTATTTCTTGTTTAAAGACATCTGCCAGCCCGGAGCAGCGGTGCACTTCCAGTGACCCCAGCTACTCGGTGGGGTGGGGTTGTGGCAAGTTCAAGGCCAGCGTGGGCAGCTTAGTGAGACTCTGTCTCAAAATGAAAATTTAAGAGGCTGGGGCTGTAGCTCAGTGGTAAAGCACTTGCCTAGAATGCGTAAGGATCTGGGTTCAATCTCTAGTAACACACCCACACCCACACCCACACCCACACACACACACACACACACACACACACACACGCCTGGGCTATGCTGCATAGCCAGAACAGATCTGGCTGGCTGCCTAGCCTGATGTTTCCCTGGGTCCTTGTGATCCCCAGAGGCCTGGCTAGCAAGGCTGCCCCTCGGGAGCACAGGCCCAAGGCTATGCTCCTAGCCAAGACGGGAGGACTGCCCAAGAACCCTTGCTAGTACACTTGTGTCCTCCCTTTTCCCGCCTGGTGCAGACCCTGGGTCTAGGGCGTCTGTGTGTGGGTGCTCTCTTATATTCTCCCAGCCTTGTGGCCGACGCACAGGACACCTGCCTGGGGTGCGGCCAGATCAGTGCCCACTTCACTGAGGTGCTGTGACTCAGTGACCAGCGGCCACAGACTTGGTGGCGTTTTCACCCATGTGGCTTTGCCAAGCGGCTTGTGGCTCTTTCCTGAGTGTGCAGTTGGCAGGCAGAGAGTCTCAGAACGACTTCAGATGCTATAAAAATATGTTTGGCCATCTACCACCTGGGCCGTTAACCTCCTAACCTCGTATCCTTCTTCTCTTCGCCGCTGGTGCTTGTCCTGTGCCCTGGACACGCTGGACTTTTAATTTTAATTAAAACAACACACGGTCAGCCCTGCAAGACTTACGGCAACAACACAAGGTGAACCAGCAGCCACCTGTCCCCAGGCCTGCTCCCACTTGTGGAAAAGCAGAACGGAGCATCAGCTATGTGCCAGGCTGCTGGGCTGGTGAGCTAGCTCCTACCCCTCCACGGTGGACATTCTGGGTAGACCTCCTCCATCCCTTTCAGTTCTTTAATTCTCCATTGCATACTGCTCCCCTCTTTCCCCTCTTAATTTTGGAGAGTATCCAATGGCTTCGTAACATGGAGGACAAGAACTTAGTCCTCTTACATACAGATTCTTATATTTTGCTCGGGATATAGCTCAGTGGCAGAAGCGCTTGCCTGGGAAGCACAAAGTCCTGAGTTTGATTCCCGGTACCCCTCTCCCCACAAAAACCGATTCTTATATTTTGCCTTCCACAAGTCCCAGTCCGGGTTCACTGCAGGGCTGGGATGCTCCGTGTTTGGTGTTTATAGTACCATGGTTATGTAAATGTTTTCCCTTCGTGAGCTGTGCAGCACATCCCAGCTACGTGTTCTGTTTCGTGTTTGCTTTTCCAGTTCGTAACTGCCTTGTTTTCTTCTTGTGTCAGACTGGGCAGTCATGGCTTTTGGCCCTGGGAAGCCAGAGGGCATAACTGCACCTTGTGAAGGCCTTTAGTTAGGGGACGGGGTGTAGCTTAGTGGTAGAACACTTGCTTAGCTGTGCAAGGAACTGTGTTTGATACCCAGCACAGCAAAAAGGAACAACCAAAACTCCTTAGCTCGTTTCCTGCTCCACCTGTCCCTCCGCCTGCACAGGAGCCTCCTGGCTTCCTGGGGTGGGTTTCTGGGGGCTTCCTGAGGTGTTTCTTTGGGGCTCTCGTGTTGTCGTCTGGCCTTAATCAGCTCCCCCACCTGCAGACACCTTCCATTCTGCTCGGCAGTTTAGCACCTTACTCTTCACTTTCTAGCTCTGAAAATTTTTCTAGACTTGTACGTCTCTGTTGGACTTTCATATTCACCTTGTCCTTGGGGGCTTGGAGTTTTTTTTTAATTTCAATGCCATTTTTTAGTGGGAGTTTGGGACAGCAAGGGGGAAAGTACCTTTGTTTAGTCTGTGATTAATTAGAAGCCCCTCCCACCTTCTCTCTGAGCCACTGCTAGGTGCCGCAGACTATGTTAAGATGGCCCCGCCCTCCTCTTTCTTGTCACCCAGGTCTGAGCTCGGGGAAGGCCTCCCTGACCACCCACGCACGGAGTCTCTGCCACATCAGTCTGCTTTTCCTTTGTTTATAGCCCTTACCGCTCTTTGGAAATTATTTTCTCTATTTGTGTCTACTGATATGTTTGCCCCACTCCCCACCCACTCCCCAAAGGAGGTTTGCTCCACAAAGGCCAGGACCTTGTCTGTCAACTGATTCACACTGTGTCAGGCAAAAACAGATGTTTAGGGAGCACATGTGGAATGCATGGACCTGAGCTTTGGCTCTCGTGAGGCAGACTTCAGCCTTCCTTAGGGAGAAGCTGGTTATGGTCAGAGCTTCCTAGAAATGAAAGACACTATCAGTGGGAGGGTGAGGCCCCTGCTGTGGGACGGATGTAACCCTATTGTGAGGATGGCTGAAGGGAGACAGAAGCAATGACGGAAACAGGATGGTGTCTGAGGGTTGGCAGAGAGAGAAGTGTGATTGGCTCAGGGTCACACAGAAACCCTGTGTGACCCTGCAGGGAACAGGTAGGCCAGACACAAGGTTCCATCAGAGGCAGGGGGCTGGTGTCTTTCCAGAAAGTAGTAGAGAAGGCTCAAAGGCGGCTTGTCTTGCTCAGAACCAGTGTTGGGACCATTTTAATGGAAGCAGGCACAGGAAAGGGTAGGGAAAACTTTCCACTTGACAGCTTGGTGTTTGAACAATAGCAGCCTTGTGCACATTCCAACATCCCTCTGACCCTGTTTTCCTTTCTGCTAAATGGACACGATCACAGCGTGCTCCTTGATGAGGTACTGGGAGCTTCCCTCCAGTCCACAAATGTCTGCTGAGCATCTACTGTGTGTGGACACTGCAGTGAGCCCACAGAGGATGCGCTTCGAGGGATTGGCATACAGCAGGGGCTGTGAATGTGCTACTGGCTGCTTTGCAGGTAGAGCCATGTCACTTGTATGAATTCATCCTTTGATATTCAAGATTGGTGGCCATTTAAAAAATAGCAGGTATGTGGTGTAATCCCAGCTACTTGGAAGGCTAAGGCAGGAGGGTTGCAAGTTCAAGGCCTGGGAGACTCAGTGAGACCTCATTGCAAATTAATTTAAATAAGGCTGGGAGGGTAGCTTAGTGATAGAGCACTTGCCCAGTCTGTGTGAGGCCCTGGGTTCAATAGCTAGTACTGCAAAATAAGTAAGATAAGATAAGCAAGTGAGCCCTTATGGCTTCTCCCGTCTATTGCAGCTTCAGAGCCAGACCTCGAGTACCAGCTACCACTTGCCTCCAAACTTATCTAGGGACACTCACCCTTCCCCAGGCTCCACCTGTAGCACAGCCAGTGCTGGGCTCGGGGAGCCAGCCCCTGCCCTTGCTTTGGAGCAGCACAAATCCTACAGGTTCTGGCCACTGACAAAGCAGAGATGATCTGTGATGAGGGCATGCGCAGGGCGCTGGCAGGGTGGGCAGTGGGGTGGGAATGAGTCAAGCGGAGAAGACAGGGAGGGCATTCTTGGCCACGAGAACAAACAGCCTTTGCAAAGAAAGCTTCAAGGTGAAGGCTCGGGCTGGGAGCAGCTGGGCTGGGGCGTCTGGAGACACCGGGAGGGCTAGAGTGTTGGAACACGACAGCCCTGTCTTGGGAGCCTCTCTGTTTGGCTGCAGGGTGGAAGGGCTGGGGGCAAGGGGCATAGAGACCGGGAGGCTGGACGGTCCAGCACAGAAGGTGATAGATCCTGTGCAGAGCACCCAGAGCACCGCTGTGCCGGGCCTGCGCACTAGAGGGCGCTGTGGGCCAGCCAACTGTGGCTAACACACCAGGTGTGCCTGGCTGTGCGTGGGGTTGTTTGTGGACGTGGCCACACTGTGTGGCCACTCTGCTTTTGTGCACCTGCTTGTGCACCCCGTTTTGCTCGTAAGCATGTGGGTATGTACCTGGGGTGTGCCACCATGTGGGTGTGAGACTGCTGGGATGGCTGAGTGAACATGTGTGCAGTGTATAGAACAGGGCCCCTCACCTCCCACCACTCAGCCACATTGGTCACCTTGCTTCTCCCAAGAGCCATCCACCTCGGGGCCTTTGCACATGCTGGCCCTCCACCTGGAGGGCTCTTCCTCTTCCTCACCTCCTCAGGTTTCTGCTCATGTGTCATCTTCCAGGAGGCTTTTCCTGACCTCCCTCTTTAAAATGACAGCCCTCACCCTCAGACACATTCCTTGGTGCCTCCACAGCATTTGTCATGCCCGACGTCGTCATCTCACTTAGGCATTCTGCATGTCTGCTTGGTCTCCCAGGACGTACTTCCCTGCGTACAAGGAGCTGCCTCTGCCTTGTCCAGTGCTGTGGCCCCACTGCTGGGTGCACAGCAAGTGCCGATGAGGATCTGTTCAATGAATGAATGAATGAGCTACCCCTGTCCTGGGTTTGACCATCCTCTCGCTCCAGCCCAGTCATACCCATACCTACTGGGGCCACTCTCTTCCCCTCCTGAGCCTCCAATTCCCAGCATTTGCCGAGAGATGCATTTGTAACTTTTCTCTTAGGAGTCAGCAACAGGCAGCCTAGTGGAACCCATGTGCACCGGCTTTTCCATTTTCTGAGAGTCTGTGGCGTCCCCGGCCTGAGTGTGCCCCTTGGAGGCAGAAGTTGAATGTTGATGGCACCCCCAGCTGTGCCCCCCGCCCCAGCACTCTGCACTGCAGCACGGCCGGGCCTCCGTGTGGCCTTTACGCCCGGCCAGGCTCTGCAGTTTTTCCAGGGTTGCTCTCTCTTGTCTCTGCCTGGCAAGCTCCTACTGGGCCTTAAAGGCCCTATGTCAAGGTCACCTCATCTGAGATGCTTCCTTAGCCCCACCCAGGTGGAGTGGGGCCCCTTCCTGGGACTCCTGCTCATGCATCTATTTATAACACCCCATATAGAGTTTTGTGATTCTTGGGCTGTTTGTCAGGCTCCCTGACTAAGCCACAAACTCCTTGTATGTGAGGACCATGTCTGAGTCATCCTGGGGCCTGGAGGCTGGAATGGGAAGAGTGGCTTCATCCCTGTCTGTGGCATGCTTTCCTCCTTCCTCTGCTCATTCCTCGAATAGTTACTGGGCACCTACTGTATGCGTGGCTCTGGGCTATGCCTCAGGAATGCAGCAGGGAATAAGATGCTCAGGAGGGACGGACAGTGTGGAGGGAGAGCTGCACTGGAAAGAGTCAGGAAGCCAGGCATTGGTGGCAGGAGGGCTGTGCAGAGACTCGCTGGGGTCCATGACCGGGAAGGCCCCTTGGGGAGTTCATTCAGGAGCAGATCTGCAGGGTGAAAGGGAACCAGTGGCAGGAAACACGGGGTGGAGGGTGGGAAAGACGGGCCAGGCAGAAGCAGCAGCAAAGGCAAGGCCTGGAGGCAGGGCAGCCTTGGTGTGTTCGGGGGCAGCACTGAGACCCTTCGAGGTGGTGAGTAAGGGGGAGGGTGGGAGGAGCAGAAGTCAGAGCCCTTGGCAGGGCCTGAACCCAGAAAACCTGCCCGACCGGTAGTTCGGTGAGGAGGCGGCTGCTGCTGGGTGCCCATGTTAAAGGTGGGTAAGTGCAGGACCCCTGGTGCTCTGGACACTTGGGGCGGCACACAGTGGAGGGGGCTTCTTCTTGGGGTGGTCCGTGGTGGGTTTAGCGGCTCATTTCCTGGCCACACAGCGAGTGCCAGCCCTAGGTCAAGTGCTTGTAAGCTTGAACGCATGAAGTGTTTTCAGAGACCTCACTGCCCCAAGGCACAGGTAAGCTCAGAGCTGCTCAGCAACGTCTCCAAGGTCATTCAGCCAGTGAGCGGAGAGTCGGCATTCACACCCGTGCCTGGGAGTCCAAAACCCATGATTTCTACTCCACTGCCTGAGAGAGAGAGCAAGAGGCTCAGAAGACAGCCGGGGTAATTATAAGGTCTTTCCCGCTTATCTCGTCTGGTCCTCCCCACTACTGTGTGGGTGGGGGCCCTGCGGGGTCCCCATTTTACACGCGGGCAAGCAGAGGTCAGTCCTGCTGCCAGCATTCCTAGCAGGTGGTGAAATCTGCTTGCCTCACGTGAGGTCCCTGACAAAGCACACACTCATGCCCGCCCGGATGCCAGGGGCTGGCCCCTTGACCTTTGCCCTGCCTTTCCTGCCCTTGCCCAGCCTGGCTTTCCGTGCCGTCGCCTGACTGCAGCGCGGGAACACTTAATGGCTGCTGAAATGCCCCAGGGTCTAGGCGGGAACAGGGGGAGGATCGCCTAGCGGGCATTATACAGATAAGCAAGCAGGCAGGAGAGACACGAGGCCTGGGGAACCCAGGAGGGCTTGCCACAAGGTGTGAACGAGTTCAAATGACTCCTTATATCCTCAGCGGCTGTTTCCCCAGTTTCTGCCTCAGGTTCCATAGGGCGCTAATGATACACTCAAGAAAACTGCTTGCACTGACTTATCCTTGGACACCGCCAGGTTCACCCCCGCGTTCCCACCCCGGCGCGCTGCCCGGCACGTGCAGGTGCTCGCGGATGCTCGCTGATGAGGACATAAACGCGTGCACACCGGCTAAGGTGCTAAGCCCTGTACAGCAGTCAATCAGCAAGCATTTACCCACCTCCCGCCGACGCCCGGCTCCCGATCTCATCAGCTCCGCGGGGCGGGGCGGGGCAGTGCTGTTATCGCCGCTCTCGCACAGGCGGAAACGGAGGCTCAGGGTGTCACCGACTTGCCCAAGGTCACCCCGACTACAATGCTGCCAAGTCAGACCTGAACCCGGGTCTCAGGAGCGCACTTCTAACCCTGCCGCGGGATCCGCCCGGTCGAGCCCCCTCGGGATCTCAGGGTTTTCCCAGATGACGCGCCGAGACTCGTCCAAGCCGGGCACCTGCCGGGGCCGCGGGGTGGGGGCTGGAGGCGCAAGGGGCCGGGATTGCGCTTGACAGGCGGAGGCGGGCGGGGCGGGGAGGTGTCCTAGGGGGTGGGTGGAGCTTGCGTCTGGACGAGCAGCCGGAGGGAAGCGGCTCTAGCAGAGGAGGGGCGGAGCCTGACTGGGTTTGCATTTTCTGAGTGGCCGGCGGGCTTGACAGACAGTGGGCGGGGCCGGACCCGGAGTTCCTGGGCGGTGAGGCTTGCGCTTGACAGGCAGGCCCTGGCCGGCGTCTGATAGGCAGGGGACGGGCCCTGGAGACGGGAAGGCCAATTAGCGCGCCTGGGCGGGGCCTGCGTCGGCGCCGTCGGCCCGGGCCCCCGCGGCGCTTCACAGTCTGGGTCGGGCTTCGCCTGTCGAGGCCGCGTTCCGGCCGCCACCGCCGCC